TTATCTGAGTATGAGATTTAAATTAAAAGAAAACAAAAAGTAGAAAGAAGTAAAATATTAAATTGAAAGAAAACAAAAAGTATTAAAAGCAAAAAAGGTCAAACCATACAATATGAAATATTAAACTGTAGTAGCCCATCCTCATTTAGTTAACCCTACACTAGAGGTTATATAGTCTATTTTTTGATAGTGGTAGGCATGATAGCATTTTCACACCCAATACCTATGAAAAGACCAGGGCCAAATTTGTAGCACAAATATATAGATATATATATACATATATAGTGGCATTAATTATTTTAAGAAAAAGAAAAAAGGTAAACTCAAATTTAGTGGCCAACAACTTGCAATCCTTCCATGATCCAAGCCTTGAGGGAAGGAAGAAGGGTGAATGTAAAGCCTAAAAGGAAGGAAGGGTCCATCTGTAAAGTATGAGTTCACTCATTAGGCTAGCTGTATCTTAGCTTTCACATTGCAATACACTTTATAATAACTTAGTACCTACTAAATCCTGTGATATACTTTTCTTTTTTTTTAGAAAAAAAAATAGAAAATTACTGTTATATTTGTGAAATTTCATTTCCAAAAAAAAAATAATAAAAATTGCAAATTTTTAATATCAAATCAAATCTGGTAGTGTGTCACACTCAGAGCTACAGAAAGTTGAATGGTTGAGATTATGGCATTGAGTTCTACCTTCCAAGACAAGACATAATTGCTCATAGGAAAAATAATATGACACAGAAGTAGGCATGAGGAACCGGACTGTAATCACTTATACAAGTAGAAAGTAGAACAAGCATGAAGCAGGCTCCATAATTAGGCAAATAAACAAACCAGGCTGCATAAAGAGAAGAAATGATCATGAAGCTTGAACCATGATTAAAAGGGTAATGAAGTCAATCAGCACTTAACAGTGATCATATGGAAACCAAATGAAGAATTATGATAATGAATTTTAAACAAAAAAAAAACAAAAATGATAGTCTCTAACTACCAGACACTGTACAATAATAATCTCCCTTTTCTCTTCGCTCTCTATCTCTCTCTCTATCTCACACGTACACACACACACACACAAGAAGTTCATATTTTCAGAGGGATCGAAAGCAACTATTCGTCTTGCCAATGGCCCGGGAGAAAAAAGATAGCAGGAAACTTGTTTTGGAGCTGCCAATGCTTCAAGATCAAAATGACCCATTACATATCTTCAGTCAAGTTCCTGTCTTTGTAAGCCAAAAACAAACATTTCATCGATATGTGTATGGTTGGTTAATCAATCATTAATTATGTTGCTGACAAGGCCCTGTTCCTCTGTTCATGAGTTTGTCATCCTATTTGGCTCTCTCTATCCTCCACCTTGTTTTCTACATCAGTTGATTCCTTCATGCATT